GTCCTTTAATTGGAAAGAACTCCCTTCACCCCTCGCGGGGGCGGAAAAAGGAGGTGTGACACTGTGTACCCGAGCGGACAACTCGAGTCGAGGAGGGGGCAACTTACCGGGAACCAACAGGCCATCCGGCTTCGTAACTTGTCCGGCCTCTTTCTTATTTTAGGGTATGACACTAACAGAATAGGGAGTCTCAACCAGTAAGCACATCCCCGGAGGTGAGAAGAGAAGGGTGTCGGCACAGTTTATATACAGTTCAGATAATATCAAAGCGGTAACATTTAGTACATTCAGCACAAAACATGTAGGAAAACCAGATATAACCAAATACAACAATTTATCTAAGCTCGAATTCTGAACCCTGAACAAAACGTTCTGGGTTCTTGTCCCCAACAGAGTCGCCAGAGCTGTCACACCTCCTTTTTCACTACCTACACCCGCAAGGGTATAAGGGAGTTTTTTCAATTTAAGTGACAATCGAAACAGGATTATTTTATTTTTAAAAAAATTCAGAGTCGCCACTTGGGATAATTTTATGGTGTCCCAAGTCACCAGTTTAAATCCCGAATCGAGGAAAAGATTGACTCTGTATTACAGTCCGCGAACACAAAAATTCGGGTAAGGAATTCTGTTAACCCGGGAGAAGGTGTTAGGCATTCCCAGATTTCGTGGTTCTAACACGGTCGTTCAACTGTTATAATCGGCCTATTTACTTGATTTTAGTACATGGTTTAGCCTATGGTGCAATTTTAACTTTATAACCACTTTTATTTAATTATTTTTTTTAGGAAGACTTCAACATTATTTAAAATACGTCTTGAACCACGTCACATAAATGCACCTGCGGTCCCCGACATATTTTATCTAACATTGTTGAGAGTTGGATTTGGGTCATATAAATGCACACCCGAGTTTATGTATCATGACCATGTCACGGGAACCGTACCCATAGTCACGATATTTATTATTAATCGCGCCTAAAGCAAGCTACGGTGTATTCATTTCCTATAATTTGGGGTTATAAAGGGTCAAAAGCTGCGAAATTATTGGGTGTCTTCCATATTCAAAATCATTACTGACTCATATCATACTAAGAAACAAAATGAAAACAACAAACATTTTATACTAAATCATTTCGAGACATGTCAGTAACCTAAGTAAAAATTATTTTGTATCCAAACTTCAAGAGTAGATGATCCATGAAGCCACATGAATTGCAAACTTAGCAGAAAACAACTTACTTTAAACGATAAGGAGAGTGCCAAATCAACAGCTCCTCTCAAACCAAAGCATATGACGATGGTAGCTTTCTTTCTCAAAAACCTTCCGATTATATTGATAAGGGAAGTTTGTACAACAAATCATCTACGAAGTGAATGGAATGCGAAACCAACGCCATCGAACTCGGACGGAACCTCGACAAAGAACCAATGGAAACAGTCATCAAAACTCAACCAAAGAACTCGAGACTCGCCAGAAAAAGGTTGTAAAACGCTTTGGGACGCCTCACTGTTCAGCCCCGATTTTTGTNGTCGACCTCGAACGGAACCTCGACAAAGAACCAATGGAAATAGTCATCAAAACTCAACCAAAGAACTCGAGACTCGCTGGAAAAAGGTTGTAAAACGCTTTGGGACGCCTCACTGTTCAGCCCCGATTTTTGTTTGCTGCTTTTGTGCCTCTGTTGCTTCAGTGTGTGACTATGTGTGTGTTTAGTGCTACTGATATGAGGTCGATAGAGTTCTTTGCTGATGGGTTTGACTACTTAAAAGGATGTTCAAGAGTGAAGAAGTAGAAGTTCAGGGGGTGTTTTGAGGTTGAAGATGGTTTGTTCTTTGAAGAGTATGGTCTGTTATGGAGGGACTCCGGCGAGTTGGGTTGAGTCCGGTGACTTGGGGCAGAGTGTGTGAAGGAGACGAAGACGGGGAGGGGTGTGTTGAGGATGATCCGATGGGGGATGGGTCCGTGTATTGTCTGCGCAGCTTTTTTGTGTTTCCGCCTTCTCCCTTTCTTTTATTCTTTAGTGTTAGCTTGTTTTTATATACCTAGGTCTAGGTTAGTGGTAGTGTTTTAGGTTAAGGGGTATGGGCCTAGGAATTATGGGCTTGGCAATTGTGGGCTAGGTCCAAAATTAGGCCTAAAGATGGGTTGCCCGAGCCCAAGCTCTATTCTTTTGCCGCGAATGAGATTAAAAATACGCGCCCATTTATTAATTAGTCCTACTATTAAAATAACTATTAAAACAAAACTAACCATTAAACAAATCTATGTTTTTGTATTTTCAAACACTATATTAAAAATAAAAATACGATACTACTTTTTATATATTTTTTTAGATTAAAAATGACTACAAAATATTAATGAACTTATTTTTTGTAGTTTTTGTTTTATTGTACTAAAATAAAGTAAAAGAGTCAAAATTACTTGAAATATCTATATTATGCCTAAATTAAATATTTTACGCTAATATATAAAAGATATTGGGGAGGGTCAAAAATCGCATGTCTACACACAGTATAGCCGCTCATAGTCAATAGATGTTAAAAAACATGCCAGAGAAACTGAAGTAAATAGTTGATAGTAAAAAAGAACCCACAATAAAAGTAAATCATACTTCGATGGACGAGATTAAGGCAAGAAAAACTACATTCAGTTCTTTTACAATTAAACCAGTTTTTTCACTGATCTTCAAGAAAACAAAAGAGCTGAGCAGAAGGAAATCACGTATTGTCACATCTCTCTGGGTGAAAATGGAAAACTTGGAAGTACCCCCAAAAGCAATTATTAGAAATTAGATAATTCTAGTTTATATATTCATCCTTCAGGTCAAGGTAAAATCCCAAAGTATTTTCTGCTACAACTCTTGTATATCAAGTCTTCTACCTGAACCACCATCTCTGAATAGTAGAAATAGGAGTATTCATGAACGGGGCATATCGTTGAACAAGAGGATTTACAAGCCTCCCAATCTTAGCCCACGCACTCTGATGGTAACCAGCAGTGGCAGGAGCATGATACATAAGCTTCAATAGCTGCAATGAGTTACATAAACTTATAACAAACTTATGGCAGTTTCAGTCTGCAAAGAGTCTGCATTATAGTCATTGTAACAGAGCAACGCGTTGTACATAAGCATCAATAGCTACAAAGAGTTGCATAACAGTCATTAAAATGAACTAATATGTTGTACACCCAACTCAATGGGAAACAAGGACTAGGGCTTTTGGTTCAATGGCTAGCGCGCAACACATGATTTGTGAGCTAGGCCCACATCAGAAGTTCAAACCCTGCCATGGCGAAAGCTTGGTAATTAAGTAGAGAAGAATAGAAGGCAATCCCATTATCCATATGGGTTTTGAGCCATGTGCCAACTGGCCTACAGGGATTCCTCAATTATAAAAACAAAATGAAAAACAAAAAGTGGGTATAGAAGCGACCTAGAGTAACACACTTCATCAAGTTTAAACTCTGATTCATGAAGTTGTCATAACATGTAGGGGTGGCAAAAGGGTGTGCAAGGTTGGATATGGGTAGGTAATAAATAGGTGCATGCCCAACCCAACGTGTTGCATGCATCCAGCTATTTGTCAGATATATTTCTTCCATTCCAGGAAGAATTGCTTGCTGGAACAACAATATAGAGAGAAGAAAGAAGCAACATAATCTCACAATTTCTCACATTCGCTTATATCAAAGAAATAAATCATTTTAAAGGCAAAAGATGCTGAAGATACAAAAATGAAAATGACAGGACAAGACAAACCTGCCAGTACATGAATGTTTGAATAATATTACGCTGCCACCTGAATTTTCATGAATATAAATAGTTATAAGCCAATAGAAACCAAATGAGAATGTCAAGGAAGATAACGAGCACTGACACAGGCCAGGATTTAGAAAAAAGGTTGAGAGACTTACGATAATAGAGAGACAACTAGAAGAAATCCCAGCCCAATCTCAGCCTGTGAAGACAGTATGCTAAGAGTAGTTACGTTTGACTCGACCCATACGCATGCCTCTTCCAAGTACTTCCTGTAAACGGTCATAAAATTCAGAGTCATGGAAAAACTCCAAAACAACCAATCTACCTTCAACAATATTGTGGGTTGGGGTGGGGGGAACCAAATAATAACATTCACCAAGAGATTTACAATGAATAAAAATGTTAGAAGTTTTCAATGTTTTGACATGAAGGAAAATGGTCATATACAGCTAGAACGTTCACAACTTCACATATATGATAAACTTGCAAGACAAGATAATATACAATTTCATTCTGAGCTCTCACAATTGCAGGTTAGCTACATGTTAGTCTTATCCACAATATATCAGATATATTTCAGTAAGCAATATGAAACCACAACAGCGTTTGGAACATCAAAGATTCCTGCAGTATAATTACATTTAATTATTTAATAGGATACTGTAATGCTTTTTATAATTATATTTAGCTATTTAGTATGATACCTGTACTGCTTTTCTCCCCATTGCTGGTTTAAAATGATAAGAAAAACAGCATTAACTTTCTTTGGTAACTCAATTAAACAGCTTTTTACCTGTACAAAGAAGATGTGCTGAAGTTACGTCGCAGGAATTTCGCGACATGTTCAAGTGCTCGGCATGAAACAGGAATCAAAGCAACTGCAAATCATTGATCATGAATATATTACTGAATGAAGTTACACAGCTAATATTTATTAATAAAATAACAGCGGCAAAAGAAAAACAGACAGGAGTCAAGCTTACATTTCAGGTAAAGATGGGAGGTTACAAAAGTAAGGCAGTAAATGAAGTAGATGAAATCTTTTGTCACAATCACTGACTGCAACCAAACTTGCACTGCTTGCAAATTCCAAGCCCTTGGCTTCTACAAAAAGTTACTAGATTATTAGAAGTAGCCGTATAGCCCAAACTCCAAAGGACAAAAACTGATCTCAGGTATGAAGTTAAAAAAATAAATTAGAAAAAACTTTTACCCCATATAATGAGTATAATGAATATAAGGAAGAACATGCGGTTCCCAAAAAGGACAATCGATATGCTCTGTTTGACAGCACTGTAGGTGTAAGCGGAAATATTGCGAGAACTGCCACAACAAAAACCTGCAGAAAAGAGTTCAAGCTTTGTATAGATCTAATCACCAGAATAACTTATAACCATAAACTTAATTTTTATATACAGGTAATCTCAACAAAGAAAGGATATGATGCAGAGTTATTTCTAATTGATAATAAAACAACCTTTTCCTCACAATTTTTCTACTTATCTTTTTCATATTTACACCCCTGACCCACAGGTATCAAATGACAAATCAATTGAGATCAAGGTTGTAGAAGAGCCTTGGCAAAAGAAATAATTCTATATTGAATTTTTCCATATACACACCCATACTCATAGAGAAGGCATCCACTACTACAAAAAATTGGCATGTGCACTGCATCAAAAGACAGTATTATTCTAAAGGAATGAAGGTCCTATCCTGCAACATACACCCGTCCTATCCTTGCAATATCCTAAAGGAATGAAGGTCCTATCCTGCAACATACACCCGTCCTATCCTTGCAATATCCTAAAGGAATGAAGGTCCTATCCTAAAGGAATGAAGGTCCTATCCTGCAATATACACCCGTCCTATCCTTGCAATATATACCCCACCTTATCCCTTTTTGCTAATAATGAGTTGACCATTTGATCTACTACCATACAGGAAAAAACTAGATATTCCAGACTAAAACCACAAATTTCTATAGAACTCATGGTGTTGAAGTTAAGAAGAAAATGTTTCATATATTTCCCTAGTGCAAATATACAGTACCCAAGCATTCACTGAAAATTGTATAGTATGTCGGTCCCATCGAAGTGATGTTGGATTTGAAGCTGGGGTTGATGACGTCCCAGAAGTTCTACTAGCTGGTCCTATTAAGAATACATATAAAATGCATTTAGAAGAAACAAAAAAATATATTTCAAGTAACGATGTACTCTAAAAGACCGCGCACTTCTCCATTTATTCAAAATTCAGCAAGAAATTCATACCAGAGTTACGTTGTCTTGGCTGGTTATTAGAAGTTGTGGACGACGATGATGAAGGTTGCACGGGTGATGGTCTTGCTGGTTGGGATGAATTGCTGGTAGTCATTGGCTCAACCACTAGACCAGGGTCCTGAAGACAAAGATAAACTATCAAACGAAACCAAAGCGCCAAAGCAACATCTCAAGATCAACATAAAAATGTAAAGATGTGCCCCACTTCGGACATCTGAAATTGTATTTTTAGTACAATGAAGCTCAAGAGTCTATCAAAAAAGCAGAAGTGCTACAAGAACTTGAACTTGATTCCCCACATTATTATTATTGTGCGTTAAAAATCTCTCAATGACATCATTCCACATTGCTAGGAACCTAGGAGCACTTCCACACTGTTATATGATAGGACACCACGTTTGAATTTTCATCCGTTCTCTAGGAAATGGAGGATTAAGTACTCAAAAGGTCAAGTGAAATAAATATACATCCAGCAACAATCTCAAATGATAGACAACTAAAGAGTTAAACCATTATATTATCTGAAAGTGAAGACAGTACTATACCTCAGGAATGAATGAAGAAAACACTTAAAAGCACAGAAAAATTTAACATTCTCCGCTAAATTTCCAGAAGCCCCAATTTTGGGAAGTCAATGTACTCAAGGGTACAATAAAAGTGGGAATATGATGAGATTAAGCTTGAACAATAGGAAGGAAAATGAAGTCCAATGCACCTACTCAACAATTAAAATGAAAAAAGAGTAGTATATTAAAATATACTCCCTCCGGTCCATAATAAGCTGACTTTTTTGCCTTTTTATTTTGGTCCAAAATAAGTGACCTTTTATATAATCAAGAAGGAATTAATTTTGTTTTTTCCAAAATTTGCCCTTATTTACATATCTCAATGTGTCAAGTTAACAATATGCAAATTTAATTATGGATAATTTAGTCAAAATACCTATTTTTTTCTAGGAGTTAATATTTTCTAAAGGGGTGTGCCGAAGGACAAAAGGTCACTTATTATGGACAGGAGGGAGTAGTACAACATTCAGACAAAAAGAATCCATGAAATCAGATAAACTTGAGTGAATTCCATGCTGCACCACAGCAATAAGAACAGGGAAAACGAAAGTAATGCTACAACTCACAGTTAAATGGAGTTTGACAAAAAGATAAAAAGAACTCATCTTAATTATGAAATTGTTGGAATCTTTTAGTAGAAAGCCCTGAACTTTGATCAGAGCAACTGAGATTACATGCTAATATCCAAATAACTCAATCCATAGTACACTTAAACAATCAACCAATTAACTTCGTCTCAACTTGGAATCGGCTATACACTTTTGACAAAACTAGAAAAGACGAAAAGCAATTAAAAGTAGCACAGCCAGAATGAAGTCAAAGAAGCCAAAGAAACCGTTTGGTCAGTACCGTAACTCGGAAGCCACTGAATATCTAAACAATTTACCCATAAATCCAAGACCCGAAACAAAAAAGAAGAAACCCCCTATAGTGACATTGAATTAAGAAAAGGTTTAGAACTAAGAGCCTTATAAAACTAAAGATTCAAAAACAAAAAAAAAAACTCGACTTCCAACAAAGTGTAAACAACAATAACCGAGATTAACACATTAATTAAGACTTCTAAATCAACTGATACACATTAAATAAAATATGGAGTAGCAAACAAAGTTCCCACTAAACCGCATCTGAAGTCCAATGATTTTGATATCCATATTAATTGATGCATATTTTATTGAATTTGAGAAAAGGATTTGAAATGAGTAATAAATACTGTGGGTATAACAGGAAAAAAATTTGTCTTCTCTTGATATGCGTAAAGTGACAAGTAAAAATAAAAATCTATATTCAGTATACATGTCAAGTAAAAGTGAACGGGGGGAATATTATTCAACTTCAAACTGATGTACATAATGAATTGAAAACTCCTCTATTTATAGAAGAAAGGAAGCAGTTGCGAGGCTTTTAAGGAAGCAGCTGCAAGGCTTTTCAGGAAGCAGCTGCGAGACTTTTCTTGAACTGCTTGTAAGTTGTATGCATGAGCTGCTTGTTACAACAACCTATTTAATAAGAAGCTGCTGCAAATCATTTCATTGAGTTGCTTGCAACCTGCATGCATCAGCTGCTTGTAGATAAACTTCAACAGTCTATAAGAAGATTATCTATAGCGGCATAATAAATGGACATCCACAATATAATAGTTTCACACTCCCCCTTGGATGTTCATTAAAAGATAATGTGTCTCCTAAAAACCTTACTAAGAAAAATCAGTGGAAAAAATCCTAGTGAAGGAAAAAGAGTACACATATTTAGTAATACGCATTTCTAGTTGCCTCATTAAAAACCTTACAAGAAAAACCCCATGGAAAAAATCTTAGTAAGGAAAAAAGAGTACATCGCGTTTTTATCTCCGCCTGATGAAAATATTATTTCAAATATTTGAGTCTTCGCATTCCAATCTTGTATACCATATTCTCAAAAGTTAAAGTTGACAAAGATTTAGTGAACAAATCTGTCGGATTGTCACTTAAATGGATTTGTTGCACATCAATGTCACCATTTTTCTAAAAATTATGTCTGTAGAATAATTTTGGTGAAATGTGCTTCGTTCTATATCCTTTTATATATGCTCCTTTCAATTGGTCTATGCATGCAACATTCTCTTTGTAGAAAATTGTGGATTTTTTATCACATTCCAAATCACATTTTTCTAGAATGAAATGAATCACTAATCTCAACCATACGCATTCCCAACTTGCTTCATAAATAGCAATTATCTTAGCATAATTTGAAGAAGTAGCAACAATAGATTGCTTTATGGAGTGCCATGATACGACAGTACCTCCACATGTAAACACGTACCCGATTTGAGATCGGGCATTATGGGAATCAGACAAATAACCTGCATCTGCATAACTAACAAGATCTGCACTACCTTTATTAGCATAAAATAAACTCATATCAAGAGTTCCCTTTAAATATCACAATATATGCTAAATCCATTTCCAATATCTCCGTGTAGGAGAAGTGCTATATCTTGTTAGTAAATTAACAAAAATGCTATGTCAGGTCCTATAGCATTAGCAAGATACATAGGTGCACCAATTGCACTAGGATAGGGTGTTTCATGACCAAGGAGTTCCTCATCCTCTTCTGGAGGTCGGAACATGTCCTTATTCACTTCAAGTGATCAAACAATCATTGGTGTACTTAATGTGTACGCTTTGTCCATGTAAAAGCGTTTAAAAACCCTTTCTGTATAGGCAAATTGATGGATAAAGATCTCATCTGCCAAATATTCAATTTGCAGACCAAGACAAAGTTTTATTTTTCCAAGATATCATATTCTTAAGATATTCAATTGCCTTTTGGAGTTCTTCTGGAGTTTCAACAAGATTTATGTCATCAACATAAACAGCAAGTATAACAAATTCTGATGTCATTTTCTTTATAAAATACATGAAAAAATAACATCATTTATGTAACCCTCTTTCAGCAAATATTCACTAAGGCGATTATACCAAATACGTCCCAGACTATTTTAAACCGTACAAAGACCTTTGTAATCTGACCGAGTACATTTCTCGAGACTTTGAACTATATGCTTCAGGCATTTTAAATCCTTCAGGGATCTTCATATAGATTTAATCAAATGAGTTATATAGGTTATGACTTGTATCTTAATGGCATGACATCTTCAAGTGTCTGGACAGCTGGTCCGATCCTCACAATTTTTTATAATATTGTGCACTATATTGTATCATATATATTATCGACGATCATTTCATGTCGGTTCGCAAGTGACATAACTTGTTGAGATCTCATCATTTTCTTTATTTTCAGGTACCTGAACTTCTTCAGGAGTTTCATGAAATGTTATGTCGTGGGCTCTTCTAGAGCTTATTTCTTCCTTATTATGATCATTTACTCCTATTAGGGGTGTTCGTCGGTCGGTAAGGTACGATATTTAGATATTTCAGATCGGTATTTTTGGTATTTGATTTCTTAAAATGCTATACTAATATCGTACCGAATTAAATTCGGTATGGTTCGGTTTTTCTCTTTTTGGTTTTGACTTATTCAGTTCGGTAACTTTGGTTTATTTGGTTTGAATATTAACTAGTGCATAGAAACATAGACTATAATATTCTTAATTAAAATACTCAAAAATACAAAACTAAAAATGTATGTTGATAGAACTTTGGTCCAAAACCAACAAACCAACCCAAAGAGAGAAAACTAAACATAAAGGAATAAATTTGATCGTTAGAAATGTCTTGTATTTGCTTAGAGTTAATTGATGAACTTAGAGAATAAAGAAAAGTAAAATTTAGTTTTTTTTTTATATTTATGATATAATTAATAATATGTGTATTGTGTAATATAATATATATTTCGGTACGGTATCGATATTTCATTTTAAAATACCAAATACCATACCTAATACCAATTGTTTTTAAAACTTAAACCAAATATCATACCGAATACCAAAATATCGAATACCAAATACCAAAATTTTCGATTCCGATATAGCAATTCGATATTTACCAAATTATGCACAGCCCTAGCTCCTATCCTTTTCAAGGACTGTTACCTTTGGAACCGACTGGTTTAGCACGCTTCATGCGTACAGTAAACTTCATCCTTTAGGGACTTTAATTTTAATAGGAGCATTTGTAGCTGAAATATGATATTTAATTTTGGATCAGCAAATGGTTTTGACATTTGACTTGAATTATCTTCTGAGTGAGGATCATACTAATGATATTTCGATTCATATGACATATTTTTCAACTGCTTATTCCATCCCCCTAATGTTAAAAAAACTAACATATTTCCCAATTCTTATTTGGGAAACCTATCTTTGTGCTTTTTAGTAGAATAATTAATCATATACCATGCATCAAAAGTTATTAGATAGTAAAAATATTTGGTTTCTGATCCTATACCAATTGTGAGGGGAGGACTTATCATATATTGTTGGTCTGATACATACAAGTATTGTTGTATGCAATTTAGAAAATCTTAGACCAACACATGAAGCTTTGTTCTCATAGGCAATAGTTTAGACATTAATAGGAGGTATTCAATGCTAAACTAACTTGGATATAAACCAGCATTATCAAGATGAACTGTCTTGATTTCATAATCTGAAAATTATGCTTATAACTGAGAAAAACAATTTCAAATACCAAACTGCAGGTTGACAATAAATACATAACTATCTCATATATGCATCTATAAGTGGTTCACATGATAGATGAATGCGCCCATATTCACCTTTTATATATTTTAGAATCAGGGGTCTTAGTCCCAACTTTAGCTGGTATAATCAATTTATTATAAGAACAAGCAACACAAGAGATTTCTTGAAGAATCTTCCAGTTCTTCAATATCTGCTTATCGAAATTCTCAATTAGCTCATCAAATTAAACTAGATGGCAAATAAAGACTTCCAATTTATCATGGCGTGTGCTATCTTTTAGTAAACTTCTGGTTTACTATGGCATAAACTTTTACATTAGTAAACTTCTGATTTACTGTGGCTACTTTTGTATCAACAAATTTCTTATTTACTGGAGTTACTTTTGCCTCAGTAAAACTTTTGATTTATTGTGACTGCTTTTGCATTAGTAAACTTCTAGTTTACTATGATACATGATGTAATATAAATTGAAGAATAAGGTGGGTAACTTCTCACATACATATTATTTTACCCTCTATGATTGTGAAAACATGAAGATTTTCAATCTTCCAATCATTTATAGTCTCAATATGATAGTCATTTGTATTAGTA